CCCATAACACCTATCCTCACCTCCGGCAGCCGTCACAACACGATGCACACTTCCCCCTCGCAAGGTCGTCCGCTTGTCTCTCTGTCTGCGTCCTCAGCCAGTAATGTGACAATCTCACCTCTCATTATTCACTACGTCTGACGACGGGTTGGTGCAACCAGCTCGAAAATTTACGAGTAAGTCTTTTCCGACGGACTTCCTCCTATCATCATATCATCTCGGAGTACGTACTACTTCAGTTATTGAGCATATATATAAATGGGAAGAAGAGGCAACCTCGGGAAACATGGTTATATTGCTCTGACGTTTCAAAAGCAGACAATCTTTCATCGTCGGAGGTGAGTATCGTACGGCGTCACACAGCATTTATAGGGGGGATGGATGACAGTCATGTTAAGACGGTCTTAATTGTACGGGGGAGTCGTTAATCGGCCTTGGCACTAATCTCCCGCATACGCACTGCGATCTTCTCTGTAGTCGTCGGTGCAGAGCGGGAGGGAGGATGACTGCTGTCAATCTGCCTGTCTCTCGTCCGGGGCGGCATTTGAACGTTGGCAGCCCTCACCCTGACCTTAGTTGCCGTGCTGACCTTAGTTGCCGTCCTGGGTCGCTAGTCTTGATTGCATCCCTCTGACCGCGTTTCTCCCCGTCTGCCGGCGTAGTGGTTGAGGCAGCAGTACTGATTACTGAGCCTTCGTCGGGCCCGATTTGCGGTGTGGCTAGAACATGTTTATTATGCCAGTTGCCGAAACAACTGGCAATACTCATGAATGTCACGTTTAGAAGAATACACTTGTACAGGTTATGAGAACTCAGTTCAAGATATCTGTACATACACAGATTTCATTCACATGTCATGTTAGAGTCAGTACTCCCGTTATTGCCGCGTCGCCGTTGGTCGTTGTCTTCGGCGGCCACCGGCCCCACGTGTGTATACGTCATATGCTTTTAGGGAGCCCCGTATGGCACAGACGCACAGATCAGATATGTCATAGTCCGTAAATCCGACGGATTTCAGGTGCTTCTCCGAACTCATGAGAATTCCGCCCCGCGATGAGAATATCGCCGGCTTGTGCAGGACCGGGTAATCAGGACAGGTTGACAGGACATCAGAACGAAGCTGAATGCCCCGCAAGTAGAGCCAGGGGAACAATCGGTCAGGAGAGGATAGCCAGTGGTAAACACAGGCAGAGGTCCCGATATGGGCAAGTGGACGACCGTCCGCTGAGCGGTGCAGTTGTTCCTTCCACATCTGTCGAGCATCTTCTTTCGAATTGATAACCGTCTGGTTGATGAGCACAGGGCGAGAGGCTTGATGAAGAGTTGCCACGGCCACTGGTAATGCCGAGACCACTCGGACGGCAACCTCCGCGGATGACAGCTGTGCATCCAGACGTTTTCTTTTCATCAGCGGAATACTGGTTGACAGGCAGGGTAGTCCAATTCCACCATCCGTTAGACGCGCGTAGAAAAAGGCCGTCGGCGTATCTGCAGGAAGGCGTAACCAGGTTTTCACTGCCTGTCGGATCTGTACATCAAGGCGTTTAAGTGTCTGCCGATATACGGAGCCCAGCACCAGATCATGCATGAGTTTAGGCACACAATGACGTTTCAGGAGTGTTATCCTCTGGTGAGGTTTCAACGGGGCCTGGGAAATCTCCGTGAGCATCTCGTGTAGTAAAGGACGGTGCCGGATTGGCTGTTTACCGCGGTAGGTAAACGGAACCCCCAGGTAAGTGAAGGACTCCGTTGGGCCTGATACCCGAAGCGGTTCCCCTCCTATGCATACAGAGCACGGGCTGAGACACGAACTCTTCGCTTTTCCAAGCGCCTGTACATAGAATGTCAGACACTTGGCCGGATTTAGGACCATCCCTGCGTGGGACAGACCAGTAGCCAGACCATCGAGACGCTCTTGTAGCCGGAAAGGCGATTCAGCAAATATGACGAGGTCGTCGGCATACGCTATGGTATCAACCGTTGTGTTGGCAATGTCTATTCCAAGCTGCCGATTTGAGTAGGCTAACGCTTCAGATAGCGCTAGAGAGAAGAGAAGCGGGGAGAGGGGGTCACCTTGGCGAACACCTCGAAGGCATTTTACCTCAGTATCAGATATGAGGGTCGTGAGGTGTGAATAGGTGGAGTCAAGAAAGGAGAGAAGAGGAGGTGGTGCGCCACCAGCAGCGGCCGCTCGCAAGATAGTCTCATGATTAACAGAGTCAAACGCTTTGGACACATCAAGTACCGCCACCGCAACCCATTTGGGAGTTGTGACTGCGTACCGGAGTATCCCGTGCAGGAGACCTGTCGCTTCGGCTGTGCCGTCCCGTTCCTGAAATCCAAACTGGAACCGAGCTGACGGACAGCAGCGCGTCGTAAGTTCTCCCGTGTTTGGATTCACGTCTGGCCTAACTTCGCGCTTGCTCTTTCGTTCGATGAGCTGCGTCCAGAGAGCTTGGTGGACTGCCGGAAGGGCGACACAACGGTTTATTGAGGTAGTCTCTGTGTGCCAGGCGTCGATTGTTTCCCTGGCTACGCGGTCATTGCCTCGACCCAGAATTTTGGCGTTCTGGAAGGCGAAAGTGTGTCCAGAGTCCGCGCAGTGTTCCGCCGCCAAAGACAATGGTCCTTTTTCGGTTAAACTATGTAGGGGTCGAGCTACTGATGCGAAATGTAGGATGAACTTCCGATAATATGATGCTAATCCAAGGAAACTGCGGAGTTCCGTCACGGGTTTAGGAGTTGGCCATATTTTAACAGCATTGATTTTCTCCGGAGAAGCGTGAATGCCTTCTTTAGAAATTGCATGCCCCAAATATGTAACTTTATCCCGTAGAAATGTGCACTTTTGTGGATTCAGGCGTAAGCTCGCATCGCGCAGTGCGACCAGGACGACCGTGAGGTTTTGATTATGTTGGGCTATCGTGCGTCCGAAAACGATAACCTCCTCTAGATATAGCAGACACTGGTTTGGCAGGAGCTGGGCAAGCAAAAGTCGCATTAGGCGTTGAAATGTGGCTGGGGCATTTCATAAGCCAAATGGCATCGTCTCAAATTCAAACAGTCCGTGTGGAAGGGTAAATGCTGTCTTGTGTCGGTCAGTAGGTTCTATTTCAACCTGCCAGTACCCTGATTTAAGGTCTAATGTAGAAAACCAGCGTGCGCCCGCCAGTGCGTCAAGGGTTACGTGGATTCGCGGAAGTGGAAACAAGTCTCGAGTAGTCAGCGCATTTAATCTGCGGTAGTCGATTCAAAGACGTAGTTTCCCGTCTTTTTTGGTACAAGTGTGACATCTATCAAATCAGCAGAGTTGCGAAAATTAGGATCTTTAGCTTTAGGAGGACAGCCTCAGCAATGAAGCTGATTGCTTTCTGGGGATTCTTTACACTGGATGGCTCTCGTTCTACTTCGAGTTAATCTCTGCGTAGATAACCCCGCGCGGTTCCTGAGGAAACAGTCTTGTGTATAAGTTCCTTCAGATTTCTTACTTCTTCCTCTAGTTGATGCATCTTGGAGGCTATTGTTTGACAACCATTGCATGAATATCCTACGAAATCCTGTGGTGACAAATTAACAAAGCCTTTAGCTGTGTGCTCCGGTCGTGCAGCGATAGTGCAGGGGTTAGCGGAGCTGGTGTAATACCCAGCTTGTCCTCGTCCTGTATGGGCTTCAGATCGTCGGTGCCTTCGCAATCCTTCGCTGGACGACCAACTGAGAAGGGCTCGTCAATGGATCGATTCCGTGTCCCAAACGACATGATAACACAGTAATCCAGCAACAATCGTCAGCAGGAGTGATACAAGGAACGGTTTATTGTAATTGAATAATAGTAACACGGAAAAATGGAGTTACAAAGGTGTTTCAGATTCCTTGATTAGCATTATTCAAGAGACGTCTCTCTGACGGAATAATTCTGATCAGTATCTGGCTGAACCAGGGGAAGTGTAGAGCTGGAGACTGCTACAGGGGTTGGGACGCCATTCTCACCAGTCGAATCTGAAACTGACCAGAAAACAGGGACCTTCGTAAAACAACAAAAGGATGGATCAGTTCAATTCTGCCATACCACACTTCCCCCCTCTCCTTAGGAGACGGCCCTGTCCGAAGGGTCCCGAAGGATAGCTGTTAACGAGTCCTGCATGGTTATTTCATTGGAGGGTTCTGGCACTAGGTGATCGGGAAGAATGGGTAGATTCTCTTCTGATGCGAGGGGTAATCGGCCTCCGAAGGGGTTTAACTTGTCAAAATGCGCAGTAATGAACGGACTATTGGGCATGGCGGTGACCTATATGATGTATGTGGTGGGTGAGATAACGCGAAGTATGCGGAAGGGGCCTTCCTACGGATGGAAAAACTTTGCGGATACGCCGACGGGTGGCACAGGTCGGAAACGTAGGACAAGATCGTCGGGTTGGTACGGGGTACCCGCAATTTTCGCATCGAAGTTTTCTTTTTGTCGTTGGTAGGCTGAACCTAAGTGTTCGCGTGCCAAATTATTCGTAATTCGCAGTAGCTCCTGAAGCTTTAGTACGTAGGAGCCGGTAGTGAAAGACTCTAACTCCACGTTAGGTAAGTGAGAATCAATAGGGAGTCGGAAATTCCGTACAGTAACCATAAAAAAGGCGAGTATCCCGTGGACGAATGAACTGCTGCACAATACGCCATCAAAGCGTAAGGTAACCTGGTGTCCCAGTTGAAGGGTCGGCGATGTTCGGCAAACGTTTTTAAGAGGTTTATAAGGGTTCGATTGGTGCGTTCAACTTATCCGTTGCCTTCCGGATGTGCTGGGGTTGTTCGTGTCTTATGAATGTGCAATTGATCACAAACGTCTTGTACTAGTTTACTTTCAAAGTTGGCCCCACAATCTGAGTGCAGGGAGAGAGGGGCACCAAAGCGACAGATCCAGTCATTAAAGAAAACAGTTGTTACCGATAGGGCATCTTGTCTGCGAAGTGGTGTGGCTTCTGCCCATTTGGTGAAATAATCTACCATGACTAGAATATATTGATGTCCCGAGGTCGAATAGGTCAGCGCTCCAATTATGTCGACACCAACTCTTTGGAAAGGGAAACCTGTGATCATAGGCTGAAGGGGCGCGCGAAAACGCTGCCGAGGGGCTTTAAAGGATGCACAGGTAGGACATGTGTTACAAAAAGCGATCACCTGTTCACGTCGTTGTGGCCACCAGAAACGCTGTCTGACTGCTTGTTCACTTTTGGCCTGGCCCACATGACCTAGTTCATGATGTAAGTCGGTTAAGACAGGGATCACCAAACTCCCCGGCACGGCAACACGAGGTGTAGAAGTAACGGTATCTTTAAAGAAGAGCAAGTCGAGCTACTGATGCGAAAATGTAGGATGAACTTCCGATAATGTGATGCTAATCCAAGGCAACTGCGGAGTTCCGTCACGGATTTAGGAGTTGGCCATAGTTTAACAGCATTGATTTTCTCCGGAGAAGCGTTAATGCCTTCTTTAGAAATTTCATGCCCCAAAAATGTAACTTTATCCCGTAGAAATGTGCACTTTTGTGGATTCAGGCGTAAGCCCGCATCGCGCAGTGCGACCAGGAAGACCGTGAGGTTTTGATTATGTTGGGCTATCGTGCGTCCAAAAACGATAACGCCCTCTAGATATAGCAGACACTGGTTTGGCATGAGATGGGCAAGCACAAGTGGCATTAGGCGTTGAAATTTGGCTGGTGCATTGCATAAGCCAAATGGCATCGTCTCAAATTCAAACAGTCCGTGTGGAAGGGTAAATGCTGTCTTGTGTCGGTCAGTAGGTTCTATTTCAACCAGCCAGTACGCTGATTTAAGGTCTAATGTAGAAAACCAGCGTGCGCCCGCCAGTGCGTCAAGGGTTACGTCGATTCGCGGAAGTGGAAACGAGTCTCGAGTAGTCAGCGCATTTAATCTGCGGTAGTCGATACAAAGACGTAGTTTCCCGTCTTTTTTGGCACAAGTGTGACGGGAGATGCCCAGGGTGAGTTTGACGGCCGTATTATTCGGTTCTTAAGCATAAAATCAATAAGTTGATTGACTTCCTGGTGGAAATGGGCCGGTATTCGTCGGGGTGGTTGCCAGACCGGTTTGGCACTGCCCGTGTCGATGGAATGTCTCAGATATGCTGTTCTACCCAATGAGTCCTCATCCCACGCGAAGACCTTGGCGAAGTCTATTAGTAAGGTTCTCAACGTCTCGCGACCGTGAGTGGTTACACCTGTGGTGTCAGGCAACATAGTGTCAATGTGGATAGTTGTTAAGGCAACGTTAGCTTGAATAACGGCACAGACTGCGTCTTCGTCGAACGTAGGCGGAATGAACTGTGTGGTACAGGGTGGCTTGTGAAATTCGATGGTACGCTGACGGACCTGAATGGTACAATCATATCGGCCGAGAAAATCGAGTCCTAGCAAAACATCCCAGGTTAATCCTGGCACTACCAAAAAGGCGTGATCTTTCAATCCGGACTGGAATGTAAGTTTCAACGAGATATTGCGGACACAGTTTAAGCGAGAGCCGTCGGCGGTGGTCAAACGTGTGAGCTGGGGTCTTGTGTCCATCTACGCATTTTGGGCGTGTGATAGTACCTGTGGGTTTACTAGAGATATCGTCGCCCCCGTATCGATTAACGCTCTAATTCGGCGCTTATTGAGGGAAATATCAATATAGAATGGTTGTATCGTAGCATGAAGCTGAGTGACAAGTGGAATCGAATACGTATCCGATCCAGTGAGCCTGTTGTGTGTGCTTGGCTGTGGATTATCGCACGCACAGACCTGCCGATTGTAGGATTGGTCGTAACCGCCGCGTTTGGGATATTGTGGCCGGTTGAAGGGGCCGGATCGGTTCTGGTTACCGGTGTCGTATCGCCGCCAGTTTTGTCCTTGGGAATTCCTGAAGGATGGTTGGGAGGAGAGTTCATTATGTGGAATTTTAGCATATATGTTGACGCGGCTAATGGCTTCCTTTAAGTCGCGGGGCGGTTGTTGGAGGAGTGAACGCCGTAGTTCTGGGGGTTCTATATACTTAATAAAGTGATAGAGTACGTCATCGCTGCAATCCGTCTGGGAGATGGAGGGGTATGCCGATTTGCACAGTCGGTACAACTCGTCCGCAAACACATTGGAGGTTTCTCCAATTCGCCGTCATCGTGAATACAGTTGGTTTAGTGTCTCGGTTTATGATATCGCGGGTTTAAGGAGTTTCTCTAACTCCTGACATAGCTTACCAATCGGAGTCTCGACGAACAATCCGGCATCCAACGCCCTGTCTAACTGGTTGGGCGTCAGGCACTGTAAAATTGCCATGCTCTGTTTGTCGGTGGGGACTACACCAACATGAAACTGCGAGCGGCGGAGCCAGGCTGAAAAATCCTCCTTCTCGTCAAAAGCTGTTAATTTCAAGGGGGTTGAAACAATAGTGGGGAGTAGAAGTCGGGAGCACCGTTGCCGCCAGTGTAATACCCACCTTGTCCTCGTCCTGTATTGGCTTCAGATCGTCGGTGCTTTTGCAGTCCTTCGTTGGACGACCAACTGAGAAGGGCTCGTCAATGGATTGATTCCGTGTCCCAGACGACATGATAACACCGTAATCCAGCAAAAATCATCAGTAGGAGTGATACAAGGAACAGTTTATTGTAATGGAATAATAGTAACACGGAAAAATGGAGTTACAAGGGTGTTGCAGATTCCTTGATTAGCGTTAGTCAAGGGACGTCTCTCTGACATAATAATTCTGATCAGTATCTGGCTGAACCAGGGGAAGTGTAGAGATGGAGACTGCTACAGGGATTGGGACGCAATTCTCACCAGTCGAATCTGAAACTGACCAGAAAACAGGGACCTTCGTAAAACAACAAAAGGACGGATCAGTTCAATTCTGCCATACCACATTCGACTACCATTTTCAAGTATATAAAATGGAGAAGTTTTTAAGGATGTTCGAGGGGCTATTTAACCAGACGAAGGATATGAAGCAAGTAGGAAACGATATGAAGCAAGTAACAAGCGACTCAGCCGTTTTCGGAATGGGGAGTCCCGCGGGGCTGTTGGCAAAGAAGTGGTCCGAGAGAGAATGGTTGTCCCAGAGAAAGACCTGTAGAAGTTCCGTTGGATCGAGTAATTTTTGGTTACGATCCAGTTTCTTAATCAAAATGGGCCCTCAGAGCGTCCAGTCGGCAGAAATCTCGGGAAAGACAAATTCGTCGGAGCTCGAAAATTTCAAACCGAATTCGAAGGGCGCGTGTCGTTTATTGTTCTGAGCCCTCCGTCAGCTTCTTCAGACGTTTGATAAGCCATTTAGTCAGACCGTAGGTAGGTGTGCCTTTCAGCGTAACAATTGGTTGTAAAGGAACTTTTGGTTTGTGGATCTTTGGCAGTCCATATAAGCGTGCTATGGCAGCATCGTGTGGTTTTATCTGTCGCAAATCGTTCTCAGATATTGCCTGTTGGTTCCTCATTAGACTCGGGCTCTTGTTGATTTTTGCCACCAGTTCTTTCGTGGGGTCAGAGACAATGGCTTTGTATGACTGGTTATCGTTGAGTAGCTCCTGAGCTTTCGCTACGTACTCTGACTTGTCCAAGATCACGGTTGCCCGTAATGTGTCTGCTGGGACAATCACAATTTCTTCGTCCCTCCTTAATTCCTTAATGGTCGTTACCTCGGCTGAGGAGATGGTTGGACGTGGCCTGAGGGATATGATGAGAGATGCGACTCGTCGGCGATTCCAGTTCTTGGAGACTTCTGTGGCCTTCGTCTTTGAGTGTCGCGATAAAATCCACTGGGTGTGCGTCCGCTGTGTTGTAGCATGATTCGTGCTGACGCACTTTAATCTGGTCGTCTGTCAGCTGTTTTGATGACAGGTTATGGACGGAGGATGGGACATATAGTGTGGATTGTGCTAGCTTTAGCCTACTCATTTTGTTCAGGAGTTGGGCCCTCTTCTTCACTTACTCGCTGTTCACCTTACTCGAGATCAAGCTCGGTAAGTTACTCAAGGGTTCCATCTTCAGGTATGATGCACACGCACAAGTCAGATGAACAAATCATCCTCCCCAGGAATCTCTTTACCTTCATCTCAGCGAGCATCTACTCAAGAGAGAACTAGCCTACTTATGCCAATTATTCCGATCTAACGGATATCCGATTAACTTGGTGAAGAAAAAAACTGTCTCAGAAGGCAGAGGCGACCACAAGATCGGAGTTCAATTGGAGAAGTGGCACAGTGGAAATATTATTCTTTGCCCTGCACGCGAGGAATTCCCGAAACGATTACCCGACAACTAAACCGGTTTGGCATCTGCATTGCACACAAGCCGGAGTCCTCCTTACGCGCAGCATTATCCCGGGCAAAGGATCCCTTACACAAAGAACAGCAAAGCAATGTCATTTACCATATTCCGCGCGCTAACTGCCGTTGAGTCTATATTGGTCACAAGGGTTGACAACTTGAGACTCGTAATAATGAACATAAGCTAGCAGCTATCCGCCGACGCGACCCCTTGTCTCTCGTGTTTGCACACGGTTTGATTTTGATCAACGTTTCAATTGGGACGGTACTGAAGTGGTCGCCATGGCTAACATCAAACAGGCACCGGAATTCCTCGAAGACTGGCACTTTGGTGCAGATAGCATTAAGCGCCATATTGACCTAGATGTCCACTACGAGGGTCGCCGATCGAGGTGGAATGACTGACGCCCATCTTAAGAACAGCAACAGCTAATGCGTGCCTGGACATGCATGATCTCGGAGACACCCCATTCCTACCTCCCTGCCCTCCTCCCTTCCCCCGCCCTCCCAACACGTTGAGCCACAACCGGGACCCATAACACCTATCCTCACCTCCGGCAGCCGTCACAACACGATGCACACGTCCCCCTCGAAAGGTCGTTCGCTTATCTCTCTGTCTGCGTCCTCAGCCAGTAGTGTGACAATCCCACCTCTCATTATCCACTACGTCTGACGACGGGTTGGTGCAACCAGCTCGAAAATTTACGAGTAAGTCTTTTCCGACGGACTCCCTCCTTTCATCATATCATCTCGGAGTACGTACTACTTCAGTTATTGAGCATATATATAAATGAGAATAAGAGGCTTCCTCGGGAAACATGGTTGTATTTCTCTGACGTTTCAAAAGCATACAAACTTTCATCGTCGGAGGTGAGTATCGTACGGCGTTACACAGTATTTATAGGGGGAATGGATGACAGTTATGTTAACACGGTGTTAATTGTACGGGGGAGTCGTTAATCGGCCTTGGCACTAATCTCCCGCATACGCACTGGGATCTTCTCTGTTGTCGTCGGGGCAGAGCGGGAGGGAGGATGACTGCTGTCAATCTGCCTGTCTCTCGTCCGGGGCCGCATTTGAACGTTTGTGGCCATCGCCCGCACTCGCGCTGACCTTAATTGCCGCCCTGGGCTGTTAGACTTGATTGCATCCATCTGACCGCGTTTCCCCCCGTCTACCGACGTAGTGGTTGAGGCAGCAGTATTGATTACTGAGCATCGTCGGGCCAGATTTGCGGTGTGGCTACGTGTAGCTCCGTCGTAGGTTCTCCCGTGTTTAGATTCACGTCTGGTCCAACTTCGCGCTTGCTCTTTCGTTCGTTGAGCTGCGTCCGGAGAGCTTGGTGAGTTGCCGGAAGGGCGACACAACGGCTCATTGAGGTAGTCTCTGTGTGCTAGGTCTCGATTGTTTACCTGGCTACGCGGTCATTGACTTGACCCAGAATTTTGGCCTTCTGGAAGGCGAAAGTGTGTCCAGTGTCCGCGCAGTGTTCCGATACCAGAGGCAATGGGTCCATCCTCCTCACTGCCCTCATGTGTTCGTAAACACGGGTTTGTAGCCTTTTGTCTGTCTCTCCGAAGTAGTTGACTTCACAAGATTTACACTGGACCCGGTAGATGACATATGTCGTCTCACCTCGTGACAGGGAGGAGGGCCTTCGGTCTCGTAACCAAATGTTGAATGGTTGAGTCTGGTCGATGAGCGATTCCGATCCCCAAGGGTCTTAGGAGGCAGAAAACTGCTTCAGAGACGTCGTCGACGTACGACTGTGCACGCCAGACTTTTGGCTGTTCTGTCACCCGATTTTGACCTGCTTTACACTCCCTGCTGCACTCGATGCAGCTACGGGGGTATCGGTTGGGTTCTCGATGGAGAAGAACGGCAGCTGGTTGTTGCTTTCCGCCTCCATCGTAAATTGGATGTGCGGGAGAACAGAATTCAAGACATTGTGAAATTCGTCGATCATTTCTCGCTTGATGATGTCGACATACCGAGTCGAAAACTTTGGCCTGTGAATTGTGAAAACCAGGTTCTCTAGTTTTTACAGAACTGCCTCAACGTTGAAGCCGGAGAGAGGCGATCGCATCAGCGTCCCTCTAATCTGTTCATACGTGGTCCCCTCGAAAGCGAAGTACGTCTTCAAACAGAATTTTAAGAGTTCGACTAGATGTCTGCGCTTCACTGACTCGTCCGTTTCGTCATACTGCTTCCCGAGCAATTCGCTGACCATTTCGATAGACAGGTCCTGCGGGAGTTAAGTGACGTCAAATGACACCATGACCTCGTCTGCAGTGAGTCGCGTTCCCCTGAGTCGTTTCAGAAACTGAGTAGCTGAACAGATCGTTGTGGTTGCGCCTGAGGCTAGAGACTTCAGGTTTCGGAACAGCCATTTAGCCCGATTGAATGCTGGCGCGCCGCGCAGTGACACGATTGGTTGGAGGGGGACATCGACCTTGTGCACTTTAGGTAGTCCGTAGAACCTTGGTGCAGCTGCATCTACTGGTTTAACGGCCAGTCGTACCGACTTGCTTATTACTTTGTTTGTATGCATTTCGGCGAGCGTTTTGTCCAAATGCGTGAACAGCTTCCTCATCGGCTCATCCTCACATCAGAGGTAGGCCTGTCGATCATCTAGAAAGTTGTTGGCCCTCCGAATGTAGTCGGTCTTGTCCAGTACAGCTGTAGAATGCTCTTTGTCTGCTGGCAGTATCACAATGCTCTTGTCGGCCCTCGGTTTCTTGAGAGCATCCTGTTTCGCTGTGGTGATAATTGCGCTTGGTTTGTGCGCCACCACCAAGACGGTTGCCCGTTCCCGAACGAGGTGTTTTGCTTCGTCGGACTCATCGATTTGTTTGAGAAATGATTCCGAGATCGCCTCTTCTACTCGCTTATTTCAGGGAACTCGAATCTTCGGTTCTATTAATATATATATCCCGTTCATCATCTCAAAGAAGACGAAGAAGAAGAAGAGGCGACTCCATGGACCACACTGTATTGGTGCTGACGTTTCGGAAACTTCCTCGCCAGCAGGCAGGTCCGAGTTCGTGTAGCAGGCATGCCTATAACACGAGACAGGTGGCGATACAGAACAACTCCGGACTAGCAGGAACAAGCCCTACTACTCTGATAATGGAAACGAAGAAACTTACGAAACGTCAGCACCAATAAAGTGTGGTCCATGGAATCGCCTCGTTTACTTCTTTGTCTTCTTTTGGGGATGATGAAGGAGATAATCTATCTGGACCTCTAATCTTCCTTCATGTTGAGTAGAGTTTTACTCGTAAATTTT